AGGGAATTCTTCCCCCTAGTCCCAGCTGTAAAATTCTAGGAGTATACTCTGACCCAATGTGGGCCTTTTTTTCTGAACTAGCCATGTGACCAGGGGCAAGGGACACCATGACTGGCCTAAGCCACTACTTTTTCAAGGGGTATTAACCAGAACAAGGGGATAACCGGGGTCACAATAGAGAAGCCCAGACCTCTGCTCAACATAGCAACCACCATCAACTTCTCTTTCCTTAACTTGCCTTATTTTTCAATGACACCACCCAACTTTGTATTCATGTTTTTCTGTTTACATTTTATCTTCCAAACTAGCACATGAGGCCCATGAAGATGGGGTATTTATCAGTTTTTCTGAATGTTGTGTCCCCAGCACTAGGAGAGTGTCTGGACACAGAAGATACTCAGCAAATATCCGTGGAATGAATAACCTCCCAACCAGAGTGTGATGGGCGGAGATGGGTCATCAGGCTGAAAAATTAGAACCTGAAAACCTCCAGAACAGGATTGAGCCACCTTATAAATCACAAAGGAAGCAGGAAATGTTGGGTGGTAAAACAGAGGCATCTGGAGTTTCTCAGATACCATAAGTCAGTCATCTACCAAACACTCGCTGGTTCTCATTATCTCTGACAAAAAGGAATAAGAAGAGGACAGATGAGTGAAATAATTCAAAAATGTCATGGAAACTGGTTGTTCTCACCCCATTCATTAACACACTTTTACTGGAACAACTAGCAATTAGTACAATGGACAGATTGGAGTCTTATCTCCCTTCCCTGGAGTGCTCTCTGTAGAAGACAGGATGCTGCTGGGCTTCTAGGTGAAAGACATAGAGGACTAACCAGACCCCAAGAAAGGTGAATTTAAACTATGCTAGCCTTTGCGTTGGTTTATAATCTTCTACTCTCTCCCCAAAGCTTAATTCTGGGTGACGATGGAATCCAATACAATTGTCCATCAAGCTGATATCTACACTAATAAAAGATAAACATGCAAATTGGCCATACCTTCACTATGCCTTAAGCCACGCCCACCAGCCAATCAGAGCAACTATATGCAAATTAACCCAACCAAGATGGCGGCTGGCAGCCACAGAGCTGGAGCAAGCAGGAGGCTTGGTTGCCCCAATGATGGAGGAAGCCAAGCTTCCCCACCGGCTGCTGCCTCCTCTCAAGGCAACAAAGTTTCAATTATAGAAGGTAAATAAACCCCAGATACCTGCTTCCAGTCACCATGGCCACGGAGCTGGAGCGAATAAAAAAAAAAAAAAAGGAAAGGCTGGGAGCTTCAGTC